TGCAGTAACTTGAGTTAATACAGAAACAAATTAATTTAATGAATATTTGTTAATTTTTTGCATAATAATTACCAAACCATTTTTAGTTTATTTAGCATTTATCGACAGACTAGCTGTCGCCCACGACACCGCCCGCGCAGGTTTAAGAAAAAACTTAGTAGCCTATGTGTTTTTCCAGACTACGTTTCTAATGTATGCCAAATTTCGTCGAGATCCGTTCGGCCGTTCTGGAGATAACTTCAAACAAACATCCATCCATCCACCCAGTAAGAAGTAAGATACATGATTACTAATTAGTTAAATGCGCTGTGTTCAAAATTTGCATGTATTTCAATATATAGTTTGTCGAACAAATTCAATTTGTGATTGAAACCCAATGAAACTAACTAAACTACGACACACAAAACTTTATCTCTGCCTTTGTCGCGGAATAAGTAATTGGCATCACAAAGTAAAGCTGAACCCGCTAATTTGCGTATGTTTCAAATAGTTGCCTTCAAAGTTTTCTATTCAATATATCTTAGATGGAAAATATATGCTTTTGAAATATCAAACAGGTCTTTAGTAGAAATATATCTTTATAAATACTAATATTCTAACCGACAATATATTTTTACTTTTATTAATTAAATAGAAAGCAAGCAACAAACATTATATCTTGTCAACCTTTTAATAGAACGTTGAAGAAAAATCAACCAGAAGAGTTCAGACTATTTTTTCGACTCAACGAAAATATAAATAGTTTGTTTAGTTCTGATATCGTTGTACCGATTTCAAGTCGTGCTTTAAACAACGCTTGTTCATTAATTTCGAAAACTATGATTTATTAGCAGTATATGTAATCTTAGTTAATTATTAGGTTATAAGTAACTTTGTAAAATTAGTCAAATAGTAAGTTGATGTTTACTTTATTTCTATAAAATTTCATTTATACAGAACATAAAAATATAGAGACGATCAAATGTATCAAGTTATTTCTATACGCACGAGCTGTTGGACACGACTCCATCCGCGTGAGATTAAAAACTAGATAGCCGACTCTCAGACCTACTGAATATGCATATATAATTTAATAAAATATGTCACACCGTTTTGAAGGACTATGGTCACTAAACTTGGGACATAAAATATGTCCTATATTATAAATAACATTCTTTAATTTAATTTAGACTAACGAATCGTACACAAAAGTTTTCACCTTGAAAACAACATTTCTTTAATCTACAGACAGTGGTTAGGGTGTTGTGATGTTTCGTGCCGTGTACAGCGGAATTCCTTCAGTTAGCTGCACGTCAGCGATTGTAGAAAGCTACTATTAAGTGATTACCAAGGTGTATACAGACTGACAGAATAATAAGTTACCTACTTTGTGATTAGCATATCAATCATAAGAAGAACAACAGTCCGTGGGACTTGCAATGCTACGAAATAATTAGCCTACGTGTTAACGATACTACTATTAACATGACGTGAAATTTATTTTTAGAGTTTTTTATCGAGAAAATTATCTATAGCAAATTCGTAACCGATTGGCTGACGCGTTTGGCACATAGTATACCATATTGGCACAACTCAGTAATAGCTTGGTTCGAATGGTTTTAACCTTGTTTAGTCTAGTTGACGAAATTGGTATCGTTTTGTTTGGTGTAAAATAGTTTCCCGCCCATAAACATACTGACGTAGGTTTAAGTGCGTGGCCAGTCATTGATAATGTAAAAATAAAGATGATTAAAAGTAATATAGACTGTTGAAAACATAACGCTTTGTAAAAATATATTTAAATGTTGTTTTTATTTTTTCCCAAATCTTCAATACTTCAACAAGCTTAAATATGAAATTACTTCAGATATGTAGAACTTGATTTTACATAAACATAAGAGGTTTATGTAGTACCGTGAAGGCGACGTTAGAGCGCAAGGGACGAGCTTCTGTTCGCTTCATTTCTCCTAAACCACTCAGTTAGGTCTCAAAGGAATTATCTTTCCTCTTTCCTCTCGTTATTCCCCATTGGTTCGTGCGAAGGAAAATATTATTTTCTCTTCCTGGAGGACCTATTAACTGACGCAGGCTTACAAAAATAAAATATTACTTCGTACTAAGACAACAGGTACGAAAGACAGAAGAAGTAAATACAAGCCTGCGATGATATCCCAAAGGAATTAACGTAACCTTTCTATTTTAAGTTTATTAAAGAAACTCGGAGCTTTATTATGAACTTTGCTCTGTGTTTTGAATAGGAAAAAGAACAGGAAAATAACGTAATATATTGGCTTGTTTATTTTTCATTGCTATTGAGGCTTTGCCTTGTGGCATCTAGTATTGCATTATTAAACATGCATTATTTAATATTTAATGCATAAAATATAGATATTATATACTTATCATACTCTTAGTACATGATTTTTTATAAGAGATCAGATAACATAATATTGAAGAATTATGTTACTTTTTGTGCGTTTATATATAACATACAAAAGGCCCAATTCACAAAAGCAATTCCAGGATTATCGACGATTACCAAATAATAAGGTTTGCGGTGATCCTCGTAAAGCGAACATTTTAATGGCACAAAACAATTGAAAATCGTTTGTCCACGAGAGACCGGATTTAACAGACTCCGTTACCAGAAAAAGTAATTGCCTATAACATTAACATAAAACAAACAAGCATTGATGAGTTCCCTTGATTGAAGTCCAATTGTAAAACGACTGTTTAAGTATTTAAATCGAGTGTTACATTACCGGCAACGTTAATCTATTTGGTCAATGCAAAATAATAATTTGACAGCTGATATTTGTAGTTAATTTACAAATAATTTCAAAATTCATGTTTTAAATTATTTGAAAAAATTGTATAAGAATCATGAACTAAACCATTAGAAATAAGCATCTTCTCTTCTGTTGTAGTAATAATTTACGCATTTTTGAGCTCACCTTTTATGATAACCTTAGGAGTTTCAAGGCCTGGAGGTAAATCGTTGATATGGTAGTATATTCCTTTAGATATTAGCATCATTTAGAAGTCGATTTTCGCATAGATTATCTAATAATACTTATGACATGCTACACTCATAAATTCACTGTATATATCCAACAAAAATCACGCACCTTTTTGCCGGCCCCGGGCGAAGTAGCGCTTTCTCATGCAAAATACATATACAACGCACGCAACCCAAGCGCCGATTTATTTTCAAAAGGAACAATACGAAATAATAAAAAGCGGCGTACGTGCGAACACGAATCGCTGTGTTGAATGACCTTAAGATAATAAGTGTCGGAGGGTAGGTCGATGTCGACTCCATTTCATTGTGTCATTTTAGCTCGTATATTTTATGTTATTATTCGAAAAGCATTGTGTAATATTCCTTCCCGAAAAGATTTATAAAATAAACCGAATTATAGTTGCAAGATAGTTTAGTCAAAATAAACAAGTTTTTTTTTCCGGATTCCCCGTAAATATCATAAAGTAAATTGAAGTTTTTATAACTTCAGAAATCTTTGTATTTCAAAATTCATTACAATTTATGTTACAGTTTTTCATAATTTGTTTTTGGTATATTATCAGATATTTTGTTGTGGTAAAAATTATAATAATTATATTATTGTAAATGGCAACTAACAAAATATTATTTTTAACGCGCTAACACTCATCTTTAATATGAAAAGCACACTCCGTGTTTCCACATAATCAAAGCGGCGACACTCGCGTCTCAAAGGTTCACATTCCCGACAATCTGAAGGGGTAACATTCCTGCCGGGATTTAACTACGCCGTAATTTAACTTTACGATGCATAGACATTAACACAACTTTTTATAACTTGTGACAATTTTTTCCAGCTTCAAATGGAATGAAATTTAGGAGGTTGCGGGGATTTCAACAGTAGTCCTAATCTATTTGTAATTGGAAAATCTTACTAATGTTATAAATGCGAATGTTTAGATGTTTGAAAGTATCTCCAGAACGGTGGTATGGATACCGCTGAAATTTAGCACGGACTTAGAACATAGTCTGGAAGAAAACATAGGCTACTATTTAGGTTAATTTAAATTCCACGCGTACAGAGTCACGGGTTACAGCTAGTAATTTATATACAGACTAATAAATTGGAAAATAATTAACAAAAAAATAATATGTCGGCTTTCAATACAAGTAAAATGTAACAGAAATTTTATATAAATTTATTATAAGACCTAAAACATTAACAACGAGGGAATTTAACAATTTGGGTCAACAGTTTGTTGTAAATAATTTTAGTATCCAATATAATCCAAAAGCCATCAATCTAATTAATATCATTTGTAAATGCCGTATCAAATTCTTGACAATCGCGTGTGATGTTCTAATATAAGACATATGACGTCATCTCAAAATCAATGACGTCACGACTTTTATGTTTATATAAATCACACGATTATTTTAATGAGTATATAACTCAAAAGAAATTAGATATTGGCGTGTGAGGAGAACTCACCATCACATACAAAGTGATATTTTCGATGTAGTTTACCTTTTGTAGCCAGTCTTTGAGAAGGTGGCGCAGTAATAAAGCTGACTTTACTTTAAAAATGTTCCTAAACAAGTTTTCAGTACACCTTTAGATGCGAGCTGATTTTATAAAAATATGGGCTAGTGTAATAAACTTGAAGCGCTCCGTAGCTTTATAAAGTTTGTTATCTAAACACCGCCGACTTTACCCTGTTTATACAGTAGTTTTTAATTTTATATGAAGACTTCAGAAAACTTATACAATAAAATCATAACTTTTAAAAGTTATCTGAAAACTGTTAGCGCGATTTAAAATAGTCTTTTATTTTAATTTCAAATAAATGTATTTATTTTACTTCATTGTAATTATAACGTAAAATTCAACTATGACTCTTGTATTGGTACATATTTTCGTCTCTGTTTTATCCAAGAAAATAAAAGAGATGACAATATGTATCCATAAGTATCAAGGCAGTGCAGTATGAAGAGCAGTTTTCTATAATGTAAAACTTACCTGCGATATTAAAGCTTCCAATTAAAAGAGTCCAAAGGGAGAGAACTCGTGTCGGACTGGGGCGTAGCGAGCACTCCGTCATCTCTACGTATTAATCAAAATACTTGGCTTAGATGTTTAGGAATTTCACGAAGCTATTTGTTCACATCGGCGGTTTACGCTCACAATCCCGAACTTAACTGAAACAAGGGAAAATTACGGTAATATTAATTTAAGTTATAATTTATTATTAATATAATATATTACTATGTGTATATATATCTTCGCTATGTATTCAATTAGTAAATGCTATTAAAGAAAATGTGTGTTGTGAATTCTACATGACGATAAGGTCTGGTACATAGAGTTGTATTCTTAAATATATAAGGGCGTACTTTGGTGGGAAGAGTTTCAAATGATCGAACCATTACAAAAGTAATAACAAGAAAGATGTTTTAAAAAACTAAACCGTAGTTATTCATTTGAAAAATTCATAAAATAAGTGAGATGTACCAAAGCAAAATAAACCTTAAGTAGATAAAATATACGTTCTATCTGATTTATGGAACTACCCGTGTTGTTGATGGATAAGTTATGGCAAGTGAAGGCCATCAATCTTCATATTTCCTGAAGAACAACTGACGTGGACCATTCGTATCTGTAGGTTACCATTAATGACTCGAATACTATTAGGTTTATCATTAATAAATAGCAGGAAGGCATGCAATTAAACGAGAAAGCTATTATCAAACTAGCTGTCGCCCGCGACTTCGTTGGCTATGTGTTCTTCCAGATTATGCCACATTTCAGCGAGATTCGTGTGGCCGTTCTGGAGATGTCTTTTAACAAACATCCATTCATCCATCCGTACATTTAAATATTCGTATTTATAATATTAGTAAGACACTATAAATATATGAAGATTAAAGAAAAACTGAATCGTAAAATTATGAAATGTTGGTACTTTTTTGATACTGTTTTTGGTTTATTTGCTCTTTCATATAATCGACATTGCCAAAGATGATATCAAAGATATATTTCTTCATCTTGTTTTTTTTCCAATGTATTAAAAGAGACAGTTTTAGTTTTATCAAAGAAAAATTGTAAAAATTTAGTATTCATTAATATTCTCCTAAGTCATTATTAACTTTTACTTCATAATTTTTCGTAGAGTTCTGAACTTTCACGGAGCACATTCTAAGCACTCAGAGAGTATTAAAAATTCAAAATACGGCCCCATACCCAACTTTGTAGCTTGTCGGTAGCTTGAATTTGACTTAGCCTGAGTCGTAAGGAAAAGCTCTATTTTATTATATTATACTAAAAAGACATTTAAATACAACTGTGTAAAATTGAACTTTGAAGACCTTCCGCGAGGCTGAAAGATAATGTTTGAATCAGTGGATGTCTTGTCTTCTTGGCCTCATGCCACTCATATGGGTTCGGCGCAAAAATTAAGGTTTTGGCTTATTTTATACGACCGGCCGTCTGCCTGACGCCTACCTTGCTTGGGAAGAATATTAAATCCAACAATAGGCATAGTAATTAAACACTACAAATAGAACAAAATTTTAAGCTCTTTTCCCTATACGGTGTTCATAACGTTCTTAATTGTTGCTGTCATTCCTTATCACCTCTATATTCTTAATAATCTATCAATTTGAATGTCTACCAAGATATAAGGATACTAACAAATTCCTTAATATAATATTAGCAATTTGAGTCATAGAAATAAAGTATGTTTCTTTTCCGAATTTGCTTATACAATGAATCAAATATGAAATTGCTACACGAACAGAACTGCGAAGTTATGACAATCTTTACAAATAATACCATTTCAGTATAACGGAGTCGTGGAAATGCCAAAGTGCATCGCAAGTTCTATGCGGTAAACTGAATTTCAAAGACAAATAATTGAATTGGAATTGCTCGAGGAATAAGAGATTTTGTGCACATTCCGCAAAAATGGCTCCGCTTTTGAACGCTATTAAAATTCATCCGTGACATCTATGCTTGTAAAATGATTCTAAATGAAATTTAAATTTAATATTTTAAAAATTAAGATTTAATTTTTAATAAATAATTTTTAACTCTTTATAATATTAATGTTGTCAATAAACGATATTGCGAATACACATCAAGCAAAAACCATTCCTTTTTTCCAATTATTACAATAAAATAATAAACAGCGAAGTAAATTCTATCAAAGTGTGCGGCCCTAAGTTTACCCCTGTCCCAAATAATGTTATAAACCACCTTTTTCTCTCTTGTATATTTATAACATTAGAACTTTCCATCATAAGCGTTAGAAAATATCATTTTTTAAGCTGGCTTATAAGAATGCCTATTTTAAATTTTTACATGAAAATACTACAAAAAAGGCAAGATTTGTGTTGTCGTTAACAGAAACAATAACAGTTTACGATATAAAATAAAATTAAGGCACCTGCATAAAGACATGGCAGAGCTAAAAGTCTTTTGAGATAGGAAACCCTCAGCCGCGTTTCTTTTTGTTAGGATTATCTTTAAGTTCCATCTCTTTATGGGCAGCTACTATCTGTGCATTTAATCCACTTTCTGTTTTTATCTCAAGACAAGGAAAAAGGTCGAAAAGGTTTGTGTCTTTTGTCCGCGACCCCTGATAACACGGTGACCTTTTCATCTCAACGTTTATTAAACGAAAATACACCTGTGCAGTCGTCAGACGCCACTGCGGAGATTTCATTAAATTCAATGGAGGCCAGTGTAATTGGAATCCCCTGACTTATTTTTCTTTTATTATTTTACTTTATTCTTTGTTTTTTTTTATATTTATTTTAATAAATCGTTAGTAAATAAATTATGACATTTGAAACACGTAACACTTAATGTTATATTACGATCGAATTTTTTTTTTTATTTATTCCATTATATATAATAGCGCTTGACTAAGATCCCTTATGTTATGAGTTGATGTGATCTAAAGATAAAAAGCACTGGTTGTATTAGCCATTTCACTCTTACTACTTACGTACTGCTGCAAATTGTAACTAATTTATCCATTTAAATGGGTTTATGTAAAAAAAATCCAACGTTATCTCATTAAGTGCATCTTAAATGGACGTGCATGTTTACATAGATGTGTAAATATGGATGAGGTAAGAATATGTCAGCGCCAAATGGAGGTCCTTGGTCTTTGCCTACCCCTCTTTGTTACGTGCGTGAGTATTGTTGCGTATTTTAAGAATATTTCTCAGTTGCTTAGTTCCCCGTAGACATGCCTTACTATATCACTTTATTGAAATATTTCGCTAGGCGTGTTCAACTGGTGGATATGCAGGCTCAAAATGTTACAATATTTATCATAATGAAGGAAACGCGCGGCGGCCTAAACAAATGAGGTTGTCAACCGCAGG